CCTAGGGAGCTTGTGGCAGAGGAGGGATCTGGCAAATCTCCTTCCCCACTGGAACACATAGGAATGATGCAGTTATAAGGCTCAAGTCCTTAACATGCTTCCATGGGAGTAAGTCCCATTGGACTCAATGGTGCTTCCTTTTGAATAGACATGTACAACACACACACGCATGCACAAGCTTTTCTGGACTGATGCAAATCAAGTGAGAAACATGACTTGCATGCCTGAAATCCTGTGCAGAGAGCAATTCTGGTGATACAAATTTTATGTTCAACATAAACAAGCAAACCAGACAAACCAAAAAGTGAACATTTTTAGCTGGGACCAAGACAAGCAGATCTCTGATTTCCCTCCAGGCAAGGTTTCTGAAAAAGTCCTGTGCCATTAGTTTTTTAAAATACCTACCTATGAGTCAGTCAAATGCATTGAACCAAAGTGCATCTTAGGAAGAGAAAGATGCCTCATTACACAGAGAAGTTTGCAAACTTGGCATTGAAAGAATGGGGGAAAACTGGGTTTGGAGTATCATCAAGGTGACTGGAGGTGCTAAAAGCTCTCAATCAGGTTAGATTAGATTAAATTAAGTGTGGGCCCAGGAGTCCACTGAAAATGACTTCATCCTCAGTTGCTGCTACTCCTGGGCAAATGGGGCTAAGCACATGGCCCCTTTCCCTTAGCATGGCACTGTCAACCACGACTGATGGAAGCCCAGCACAATCCTGCAGGTGCCTCCCCTTCGAAGGCCACAGCATTGCCCTTTGGCCCACAGATGTGAGTCAGGACCTGTTCACAGAGAGGGGAGGGATGATGGGATTTGTGGTTTATGCCAACTCCTCTAAAAGAAGTCCCAGGGAGTTCAATGGGACGTAGCCCAGGCAAGAGCATGTTCATGTTGGAGGAATGGAATATCAGCCTTTGTGGTGCTTGCTCCAAAGTAAGCAGGCACAAGATTGTTCTCACCCTTGCTGTGATGCCAAATTCTGTTCGCTAGGTATAGATGCAGTTGTAAAATCATTTGTCCTTCTGCTGGCCAGGTGAAGGCATGGCCTGTCAATGGCCCTGCTTTGAAACCCTCTCAGAACTAGCAAGTCCCATGTATTTTGGCAAACACAGTCTCCTTCGCCTTGTGTCCTTCGGTTAGGGTGAGTAACAGGTATCAAATAGATGCCGCTTAAGCAGTATTATATCTTTCTTGTCTTAATATCTCTGCAACTAGACTCCAGACACTGGTTGGGTGGATGGAAAGACAGATCTTCTCCATGGCCCTCGATAGACAGACATTAATTACACAGTGTTTGATTTGCTGGCCTGCTGCTCCACACCCAGAATAAGTGCAGATGTGGGATGCAGACAAGTGTTCTAATTGGTCCAGCCTGGCTGACCAATGCAGTGATGCTCAAACAACTTCCAAGTCTTCCACTCAGAATCCTGCCTACAGGAACACAGTGAAGTCTGCTATTGCTGGGTCCCAGAAAGCACATCCCCCCCCCCCCCCGCCGCCTCTTTGTGGTGGAATTTATCAACCCAAAAGACTGAAATTTGGCATGTTAATGGCAAGTGAGAGGAACAAAGTGCCAGGTCACTATTAACTCCCAGCAGAACTAGGAATTAATTCCTAGCAATGTTTTATACACCCATGAACCTGTTTAAGGGTCACCTGTAATCATTACTGTATCCCAGGCTTCCTCCTCCTCTTCCTCCTCCTCCCTCTTCTGCACCTCCTCTTTAGAACACAAAGAGTCCAAAAGCCAGGGAAATGGGATTTTAAACAGATCAGTGTGGTGCAGTGGCTAGAGCATTGGACTGGAGCAGGAAAACCCACGGTTCAAATTCTCACTGGGTCATGAAGCTCTATGCGTGCCTTTGGGCTAGTCACTTTGGGCCACTCTCTGCTTAAACTGCATTATGGGGCTGCTGTGAGAGAAAGAGAAAGGGTTGTGTAGGCTCCTTGGAGGGAATGTCCGATATCAATACCCATAATAATAGCAATAGTAAAAATATATATTAAGTGGCTTGCATATAAACCATATTAGCCGTCTTTGGCTTAGGTGGAAGGAACAGTTATGGGCAAAATGCAAAGGTCAGAACTTGTCCTTCTTGCATTCACTTTTTGCCACCCCCGTTTTCAGGGGTGCCCCCCCCCCAACAGGGATTAAAATTGAGCCGTCCTGGAATACTAAAGGACCCAGGAGCCTTCCTGAAGACCTCCCCCCTTTAAATACCTACACAGAGAGAGCCTTCAGGTGGTCAACCTGGAGCAACATCTCTGAATGCGCTGCGTTTTCCTACTGCCAGGGCTGCAGCTCCCGCGGATGCCATGATGCGCGAGAGTTGGAGGGAACTGGAGTGGCGAGACCCTTTGGGAAGGGAGGTCCCCTCCGCTCCTCGGCAGGAGCCTCTCCGGTGCAGCTGGGAACTGGGGTTGAACGCAGCAGGAGGAAGGCGAGGAAACTTGGGGGGGGGGGCGCCGCGAACGCGCTCTTTTCTTTCCCCGTGCGCAGCCCCTGGCTGGTGGCCGCGCCTGGCCCGACTTCGGGGCAAGCCAGAGATGGAGAGTGGAGGGAAGAAAAGAAGCTGAGGGCGAGAGCGAAAGGGGGCTTACTTCCGCGTAAAGGACAGGGAATCGGGGCGTTAATCTGTTGCATGACTGTGAGAAAACTTCAGCGCCAAGAGCAGTCACCCAGTTCCTAAAGTCTACCCCCTCCCCGCGTCCTCCAGCGCCTGAGTTCCTGCCTTAGATCAGCGTTTCCTAAACCCAGCCGAACTTTTGCATAAATCGTTTCTAGGTCCGAGGTCCTCAGGATTGCGCTAGGAAAATTCTTTTCTTTTCTTTTTTTAAAAGGAAAAGAAATGCATCCGTCTCAGTCGTTCTGGGAGTTGATCGGCATCTAATTTCGGCGCAACGAAGGTCTTCTTCTAAGTATAGCAAGCCCTCCACCGGTTCTAAGTTTTTGTTTTGTTTGGGTTTGGGGTGTGTTGCGGCGTGGTGGCTGCTTCTCACAGGAACGGCCAGCGAGGTCGTGATTAATCTCGTGGGGAAAACGGTCCTGCCAGCCCCCAGCCGCCGGTCCTAAAACGAGCTGATCGGGAACCGGCATCCCAGAAACTTGAGCCCAGATTTCTGCTTCCGAAATGAAAAGACAGTTTATTTAAAGGCAGAAAGTGCGTGGCCCCCGCCGCCCTTCCAGTGACTTGGGAAAGTTCAGCAGGACGTGGAAGAGGAAAAAAGTTGTCCTGAGTTGGTTGGCTGACCCGCTTACAAGTTCACTAGGGGGTTTCGGGAGCCTGCAGGGCATGATCCATCCAAACTCGAGCACGTTTCGAACTCCGCGGATTTTGAGGGATGCCTTCCCATCCGGCTGTGCTTCTATTTCTTCCCCTGGAGAACGCCATTCATTTCAGGGGGGATCGATCCCTACTTGAGGGGGGGGTAGAGTTAGGTTAGGGTTAGGGGCGGGGGTTAGGCCCATCTTTGGTTCGTCGGGACGTAGGAAACTAGAGTGGTATTAAGCCGTGGAATTCAAAGGGAGCGATTTGCTCCGACTGATGTTGCGGAAAGAAGCCCGGGCTGGGCTGGCAGAGAGTGAAAAAGCTTTTTACCAAGGTAGGGTGAGCTGGCAACATCAGGGGACATGAAACTGCTGCGCGCAAAGAAAAGCCGCGATCCAGAAAACACACTTAAGGGGATGCGGAGAGCTGTAGGGTTCAGTTCACACAACTTCTTCCAACCTTGCGCAGGACGGGCCAGGACAAGAGCTTCCTTGGTCTGTCCCTAAACATGGGGAGGGGTGTTGGTGGCATTTGCCCCGGAGCAAAAAGCAGAAACAAACTTTTCCTCTAGGAGCAATCCCTGAGGGCCGAACGCCGGCTCTTTCCCCTCCACGTGGCTCCGGCTTCTCTTGGAGGCGAATTGCAGCTGCTCCCAGCTCCTTAGGCCGGAGGAATCCAACCCGAGGATCCTCTGCGCGCTTGCTCCCTCCGGATCGCGGGCGCCCGCAAGACGGCCAGGCGCGGGCCGCATCCTGCGCCCGTCTTCCCCGGGAGTCAGTCCCGCCGGGGTCGGCCGAACTGCCTTCCCAGCTCGCTGCGGCCGGCGCAGCGGGGCGCGAATGCAACGCGGAGAAGCCCCGGGGTCAAAGACGAACCGACGGGAATTCTCTCGCCCGGGGGAACAATCCGGGAAGTGGAGCAGCTAACGGCGTGGTGGTGGAGGGTGGTGTGTGTTTAACATTAGGAAAGGACGAAGCCCCCGAGAACCGCACGGGTCGACCGAGCCGCAGCTACAGCTCCGTGCGCGCGCCCCCTCCTCATCCCTTTTAAACTAGGAAGAAGAATGAATGGGTCGGTCTCGTTGGACCACCTCACCGGGGAGGGGGTGAGTAGGAGGAGAATGCAAAAGAGGGGAGGGTGGGCTAGAAAAACTGATTGGGCTTCCTCCTCATTGGCTGCACAGGTAATGTCGCGCCCCCCCCCCCAGCTTCCTCTCTCCGCTCCACACGCAAACGGTGGCCCTGAGCTCCCTCCTCTTCGCGCGCTCGCCCTAGCCCCCACCCCCGCCTCCCCCGAGCTGAGGAGCGCCTCTTTCTGCGCACACAAGTGCAGCGGGGCATTTCTTCGGAAGCAGAGTGACTCCGGAGTAGGGGGGCTCGGAAGTGCGCCGCTCTCTCGCTGCGCGCGGGCAGCGGGGAGAGGCGGACGGGGCGAGGGGTCAGGGCGCGGGTAGGCTGGGCAGGTCGCCCTCCTCTCCTCCGCTCCTCCCCGCCGCGCCTTCCCCTTAAGCGGATCTCCAGAAGCGAAGTCCGCGAGAGGCAGAGCGGGCGCTCCATTCCCGCCTGGGGATCGGGGCGCTCGGCGTGCCTGGAGGCTCCACCCCGAGGTCGCCAAGCCCTCCGCGGCGTCCGGCAGCGAGCGGGAAGAGGGCGGCGGCGGCGGCGGCGGCGGCAGCTGCCGATCGCGCCCTCCTCGCAGCGGCAGCCACAGCAACACAGCGGCAGCGGCGGCCGCCGCCTCCTCCCCCGTCGCCGCTTCTCTTCTCAGCCCATCCCTCGCCCGCGCCTCTGCCTGCGCCCAGGTGCCGCCGGAGCGACACGGAGCGCCACCCGGCCCGGCCTGGCCCACGGCCGCCTTGTCATGCTGCCCAAAGTGGAGACGGAAGCCCTGGGACTCGCCCGGTCGAATGGGGAACGGGGGCAGATGCCGGAAAACATGCAAGGTAAGGCGCGCCAGGGAGCGGGCGAGCGGGCGAGCGGAGGAGCGTGAGGTCTCCGTCCGGAAGGCGGGCGGGCGGGCGGGGACCAGCCGAGCTGCCTCTCGCCCGGCGCGCCGGGAGGGCTCCCGGCAGTCTCCTCCCCTCTGGCAACTTTCAGGCTCCCGAAATTGGCGAGGGCGAAAGCTGTGGCAGGCGCGTGGCGAGTTCTCTCCGAGAAGCGCAGTCTGAAGCGTCGGAAAGTCAACGCGCGTGGGTGCGCGCGCGCACGCAGGATTTCCTTGGGAGTTCAGCCGTCCTCGGGTCCTGCTTCTACTTCGGATCCTAAAAGGCCGTGTGCCCTGGGCTTGCCAGGCTGCAAACGGCCGCGGCGCTCAACGCGGCGCGGCTCTCCTGGGGTGTAAGTGCTTTGGAAGCCCATCTACGGTCGGGCTGCTTCCCGAGGCGCGCTGCGGAGAAACTCGGCCCCTGCGTGCGCGCGGGGACTTCTCTCCAAGGAAGTGCGCGGGATGGCTGGGCGGGGGGGCTCCACGCGGGGTTGGCGTGCTGGATCTGGGACTGGATCTGGCGGTGGGTTTGGGCCTGTGTTAGCAAGAGAGGGTGCCAGGAGCCCCTGACGGCTGGACTTGCTGGTCCCGGAGAACAGTCCCAGCTAACCTGGAAGCTGTCGAGCAATCTGCGGGACTTGCATGCATGTCACTGTGTTTGGGATGAGGCCTTAAAATAAAAGTAAGAAGTGGGATCCGCTTCCATTGTGCTTAAGAAGATGCCAGCTTTAGAGTAACACGGAAATCTTCATCAGGCACAATGCCACACAGAACTTTACTTCCACTCTTTCTGCGCCTCTGTATCTCTGAAAGTTGAATGAAGCGTCCGTTTCCTCAGTGAGAGGCTACTCCAAAAGTGTTTTAGAGCTATTATTTACTCCAAACAGTCGCCCATGAAGAAATTCACTGGGTTTTTTAGTCCGATTTCTGCGGGGAAAGGGGGAAGTTGGCAGAAAAACGCACGAGAGATTTGAAAGCGTTCGCCCAGAAATCTCCTCCTTTGGACAGCAGCAACGGGCTGTGATGTCTTTTGGGGAGCGAACTAAACTCCAGGAGGCTGGTGCTGTGCAAACGGAAAGCAAAAAAAATAAATAAATAAGGCAGGGGGAGCCTGTCGTTTCGTCTGTACAGAGTGTCCCTCCAGAGATGCGGAGGCGAAGGGTCTGTCTTGGGAAACTGGGAAGCAAAGGGAAGGTTTTCCTCTCACACAACCCTTTTCCGGGACAGAGTAGATCGCGGTTCCCTTGCAGAGGACCGAATCGTAAGCGGGCGGCCGGGGACGCTCCGTCCAGCCTTTCCGGGGATAAGATTCAGAAGGGCAGCAAGTTGGAGAGGGGCTGGCACAAGTTCTTTCCATGGGGGTCCCGACCTGGATAGAAGGGGATGAAAACGAGTGCTCTGGGGGACAGACGGGCTCCTGGTTCTTCTCCTTTCCCGTGATCCGAACAGGTCCGTGGGGCACCACGTGCGGCCGACCACCGGAGGCTTCAAGGTCGCGCGGGGATCTCCGCGCCTCGCTCCTGCTCTCGCCTTCCATTCTGGAGTCCAGAGCCTAATGAACAGTGTGGCGGGGTGGTCGCCAAGACTTGGCTCTTCCTCCCAAGTAGACCCCCACGGCAGCCAGCCGATCTGGGGGATCTCCTTCCGCAAAGGCTCTCTTTCCCCTCCCCGTCCAGTCCATCCATCCTGGCCGCCTCGCTAAAGCTGCGTTTCTTTCCGCGAAACGCACGTGCCGCGGTTTGCAGTCCCGGGGGGAGCGAGCGCGCGGGGCGGGGGCAGTTAAAAAGGCGCTTGCTGCACAGTCAGCTGCAGGCGACTTCTTCCCGACCATGCGGTGGCCAGAGCACGGGAAGGCCGTCGTAAGAAGCGCCGGGCGCTTCTTGGAGACCGGAGGAGTGCCCAAAAGTTTCTGCAAACAGTCGATCTCAAGCAAACTTTGCAGGAAAGAAATTCGGGTAGACCCGCCGGTGGGTTGCATCCTCCGTGGCAATCTACCCTAAGCCCCATTCACTTCGAAGGATCTACGTATACGTAGGATTAGCATTGGGTAGAACCTGGGGTGGAGGGCTGCTGGCAAGAGGAGGGCAGCGAAAATGGGGAGGGGGGGTTAAAGGCCAGGGAAATGGCCTTCAGAGAAAGTGCTGCGGAAGAACTAGGAGCTCCCCTCAGACCAGCTTGGTAACGCGGGGGCGGGGGGGATTTTGCAGGTGATCTTTCTCTTGCATCTTCAAGGCGAGGGGGAGGGATCCCTGGGGACTCGAGCGGCGCGTCCCATTCATAACGCTGCTTCCCAGCTGGGTGTGTGTGAGAGGGGTTTCTTCCCAGTTGAAATAGTGATCGATCGATCTTAGCAGGGAACTCGAGGGTGACTCTGGGATCCGCTTGAGTCACCCCTCCCCATAACCCTCCGTACTCTGGAGGCCTGAGCAGCCCTGGAGCGGGAGCCCCGAGGCGTTTTGGCCGGAAAGTTGCTCAGGACGCTCGCAAGGGAGCAAAGCCCACTGAGCTCAGTTGGAACCAAGACTGGCCTACTCAGAGGTTAGCCTCAGGCGAGTCCGATTGGGTTTACTCCCTACCAAGAGGGTTGGTTGCTTTAGGACTGCGGCCTCGGTGGACCGTCTTCAAGGCTTGCAGGCTGGCGCGCGTCAAGGCGCAGCGGACTCATTTCTGCGCGCTGCGATCGCGCCCGACGTTTATTTAACTTGGACGTCGGTTCCTTGAAAATCAGCGCCTCCAAGGCGACGTGTTTACGGCGGGGTGTTTATCAAGTCCCATCGACACAGGCGTGCTGCTCTTAAACACATCACGGTATCTGGCATGACTTCACCAAGTAATTGAATTACTGGAGGGAAATCGCCTCGGGGCGTGGAAGTCGGGGAAGTCCTTCCCCATGTGTGGGTTTGAGCTCAGGTGGCCCCTGGAGAAGGGGGCTGACTTGGGGTGCCTTGAGCAAGGGCAGAGGGTTGTTGGTTATGTAATGCGCTGCTGTTGCTGCTTCGGTGCTCACAGAAAGGCGTTCGTGGGAGCTTCTGCCTCGCCGAGGCAAAAGGACTGACCAGGCCTTGGACACTGGGCACCGTGGCTCTTTCATGAAGGGGAGGGGGCGTTCCTGCTCTCCTTGGGCCCTAAAAATGTCTCTGGATCGAGATGCCAAAGGTCCCTCGCGCACTTTTGCAAGCGCAATTGCGCTCTCACAGAGCCGTCAGAGGATTAACAGTCCCCCCTACACACAGAGACACATTCTCTCTCTCTCTCTCTCTCTCTCTCTCTCTCTCTCTCTCTCTCCCCCTCTCTCCAAAGACTGGCCTCCAAAATCGCCAGCAGCAGCCTGTGTGCTCCGGCTTAACTGGGACATGGATCGCACAGAAATCCCAGGTTGGCGAGAGGGTCGGAGGCTGGAAGCGTGTGTCCTCTTTCGGAGAGCACGATTTGGAAACTGAAAGGGGGTGGAAGCAGAGGGGAACCCCAGCTGATAGTCACCTCCTGGATGGAGGGGTCCTCCGCCTCGAAGTTGCTGCCCTGCGACCCTCAGATCGTCCCTACACCACATGAGGCAGGGCCTGCCAGACCCCTCGTGGGCCACGAGTTTCCCTATTATTGTTATCATTATTAATAATAATAATCCTACCTGCAACAGGCAAAGTAAAGCGCGAAGCCATGCGCCCATCTTTTCGTCTTTCTATCCATGCCATTTCAGCACTAGCCGGAACTCTCAAGCGACGAAGAGGCCGGGCCGAGGTGCAGCGTGGAAGGCGCACGCAGAAAGGAGCTGGCGGGGAGAAAGTTTTTCAGCTAGAAAGCTGACTTCCAGAGCCCTTTCTTTATTTCCCTTCTGTGGCTTCTCTCAGATTGGGAAAAAGGCGTGGGGAGGTCGCAAGACAAGTTTTCGTTTTCTAACAGCGCAATCATTCCTCTGTAGGTCTATCCAGAGGGAAGTGTCCAAATCGTGTAGGACTGGCTACACAAGTCGTTTGGGATTCTTGAATCAGCTGCAAAGCTGGGCTGTGTGAATTCGGTGAGGGGTGTGCGAGAGACAGAGAGAGAGAATGAGGGGGATATTGTTATTCCCCAACCTTCTTTAGCAAGATTGCAAAGCAGAGCAAGTGGCCCATGCGAAGGCCACTTGCTCTTGCACCGCCTGGCCCTCGCAACGATTCGGGGCTGCCGTGGAGTTGCCCATCTATTCCAGCCGAGGAGGGAGAGACCTCAGGGCCATGGCTCGGGGGAGGAGATGCTTTGCACAGAGCAGGCCGTAGGTTCGATTCCCGGCAGTGCATCTCCGGGTAGGGGGTGGGGGGACTCTCGCGAGCCGGGAGTGCCGCCGCCAGCCACCATCCCCAGCTCTGGGCTGGCTGGAGCAAGGGTCAGCCTCGGCACAGAGCGGCGTCCTCGGTGGCCTTCGCCGGCATCCAGGCCTTGCCTGCTCTCCTGGAGCGGCTCGGTGGCGTCCCGTCTGTCGCGCCCTGTCAATTTCACTTCCCACTTTCTGGAGAAGAAAGGGAGGGGGATGTGATGCTTCCTCGGCTCCCTCCTGGCCAAGGAGTCTGGCTGGGGAGAAGCCTTTTGCGAAAGGCTTCGTGCACGCCACCCGCTGCAGGGGATCCCCCCCCCAACACTCACACACACGCACACAGCCCACATCTCCGGCTCCCTCGGCCTGACCACAAAACAAAACGCACAACTCTCAGTGAAGCACGATTTTAGTTCTCCCCACTTCGGGCATCTTTCCCCCACCCCACCGCACCCATCCATCCCTCCCCTTCCCAACACCAACAGAGCATTTCGGACGTTGCTTAAAACACTCTTCTGGGCTCATGCTCCGGGCGGCCGCTTCTTTACGTACACGATGGTGGATCTGGAGCAAAGAGGTGGGAGGCAGCGCTCGTGGGAACGGGGGAGGGAGACGTCATTTCTTTTCCGCGATCTGCTGACTGGGCTTTGGGGGGTGGGAGTTCCATGGCAGCCCCCACCTCGGCAGCCACCTTTGCAGCTCTGCACCCCTCCGCGCCCGGGTCCAGGAGAACATTTCTCTGCCTGCGCTCCCAGCGCGGGGTCCCTGTGCGTCTGGACGAGAGTCGGCCCTCAAAAGATCCGCTGCATTTTCGCCTTAGGTAGCCTGGAAGTGGTTGAAGGGAGGGACCGGGCGCGGGGGCGGCGGCGAGATCTCAGACCGGCAGATTTTCCTGTTTGTGTTGCAGGCATCAAGATTTTTTTTCCTTGAGCCGGTGCGACACTGATTCCCTCCTTCCCGCTCCAGGAAACTGGCTCACTCGTGAGACTCTGCCCCTAAATCTGCTGGTATTTTTTTTTTTTTTCCTTGGGTTTAATTCTTACGATTAGTAGGACAGGAATTTCCCTGAAGGATCCTCTTTGCCACTGAGAAGAAGAGGGTCCCTTTTAAAGCACGCACCCGTCCTCATGTTTGTCTTAGAGTTTGGTTCCTTCTTTTAGTTCCCAGCGTGCGAAAGAGTTTGGAAGAAAAACTCCATACAGGGGAGCAGGGTCGGATCCGTGTCGAAGGCTGAGCGGCTCACTGACTCTGAGCGATTCCGGCGTAAAGTAGAAGCGTTTGGTCGGAAGAATGGATTTTTAGACAAGCTTTTGGGGATGCTATGATTTGGAGCTACTTAAAAAGAAAAAAAAAATAAAGTTCTGTTGGAGACATTGATTTTCGACTCAGGCTACTGGCTTTGTAAAGTTTGGAAGGAGGTTAGGTAAATATGAGAGAGAGAATTGTTACAGTAACGCAGAACTTTGGAAGCAGAGGTGGAAGTGATGTTACTATTTAAGCAGGTTTTCGACTTTTTACACATTTTCTTACGCGTTTTTCATTAAAAACATTAAACCGAAATGTTGTTTGCCTGTTACAAATACAGTGGCGGATGCTAAGTTGAATAACAAACCTTGAATAATAAACTGAACAACTGTAAGGCTACAGCCCCTGCACACCGTTTTTGGATGCATGCTGCCGTGAACATTGGGGGATTACTTGTGAGTAAATATGCATAGGAAATGCTTTGGGAAATAAGACGTTTTGGCCACCCAGGTGCACGCTTTATTTTCCTAAATGAAATCTGGAAGAAAAAAGAAGTCTGGCTCAGTCATTCAAATCTATTGGGTGTTGCTGTTGATTCAAACTAATATTTACCTACTTTGAGTGTTTAAAGTGAGTGGGGACAGGAACTATGCCTGGCCAGCGAATTGTTTCTCTAGCTCAGAAGCAATGGATCAAAGTTTGAGATGATAGAAACATTTGCATATGTTCTCATGGGGTATTATTCCCCTCACCTTTACTTTCTTGTTTTCCAGTGTCTCAGTTTAAAATGGTGAATTACTCCTATGATGAAGACCTTGAAGAATTGTGTCCAGTCTGTGGAGATAAAGTCTCTGGGTATCACTATGGACTACTTACCTGTGAAAGCTGCAAGGTTTTGTACAATTTATTTTATGGGAAGAGGGATTGAAAACTCTATCAAAGCATGCTGGATGGTCCTATTTCTGACTCTTTTGATGGGGATAGAATGTTATGAATAAATCAAAACTTTCTTCTAGGAAGACAGGAATTTTGTAAAGAGCAGGAAATGTCTCTTTTTAAGCCAGGGAAAGAAAAACTCACCGGGTGTTCTGGATAGGGTAGCTATATTTACTGCCTTTAAATATTTGGTTGTCGTGAAGAGATGCAGTTGTAGAAGGGCTTTCGTTCCCAGCTGTCCTCAATATTGATTTTAGTTGATTTATATACATTGAGTATTATTGTTCCTGTATCTTGTCCCTGATAAATTCCAGGGCTACAGAATTGAAGGCTACTGTTTCAGGTTTTTCATCTTTCAGAATGCAAATGTAAATTTCTCTTGTAATTCTTTTTATGTTTACACACTCACACACACGTGCAATTACACACGAGCACACAGAGATGCACACATTTTATGTCAATATTTATTTAGAAGGTTATCAAGTAGAAATCAGTCAAATGATTGTTAAACATCATACGTCACTATGCAAAAGAGTTTTGCACTTGGATTTCATTTTTATGCATATGTGCCCTGGGCCTCAAATTAGAGTCCAGTTCTGTGCAACTAGTCATGTAAAGGGGAGACAGAAAGGGAGAGAGAGATTCTTAAAATAATGATATTTTTAGAAAGAATTCTTCTGGTGGTCTGAAAATTAAATGTTTGTAAAACAGGCTTTTTGGTGCTATTCTGTGTACCAGTGTAATAGGATTTAAAATACTTTATTATTTTAAATTCCTTAACCCTATCCAATTTTTGGACTATACAGAAATCTTTCTGCAATAGCAGCTAGTCCCAGTGAATGGTTAATCAGAAGAAAGACCATTCTCAGTTCAGTGGCATAGAACACAATTCTATGAATGTCTACAAAGAAGTAAGTTCCACTGAGTTCAATAGAACTTACTCCCAGATAATTGGGTGTAGGATAACATCTTTATTCCTGAAGTAAGTGTGCAGAAGGTTCTAGTTTAATTGTCCATTATGAATTGTTTTCATATGTACCATAATGAGACATGGCAGTCATTCCAGAACAGATTAGGATCTTTAAAGTCCTCATTCATAGCTACAACAATTAATAGAACAACAGCAGTAGACCAACCACTTCGCAAATTAACAGTTACAACAAAAATTGCTGCTTCTTTTGTATTATATATATTGCATTTATACCCTACCTTTCTTCCTCCTACAAGGAACTCAAGGTGGCTTGCAAGGTTCTTCTCTTGTCCATTTTATCCTTACAACAACAATCCTGGGAAGTAGGTTAGGCTGAGAGTCAGTGACTGCCCCAGAGCTCCATGGATGAGTGGGGACTAGAATCCAGAACTCCTGTGTCTCAGACACAGTCTAGCCACCAGGACACATGGGCCGTCTAAATGTAGAATTTAACTGCAATGTTCTAAATTAAGATAGCAAGGAAAAAGTTGATAACAGAGAGAGCTATGGAAGATAAGGACAAGAGCAACTGTCCAGGCAGGCACAATGACAAGCATGGGCAGGGGAAATATGTGTACACATAGCTGTGCTTTCTTTAAGGTGAGGAATAAGGGCTTAAGCCTCAAATACCCTGTGCGTGGCTTCCTCCCACCTTTTGTGGGATTTCTTCAGAATTCTACATCTAGTCACTCATATATGTAAAGCTGAAAGTAATTTCCATTCTTTCTACAGGGTTAATTTCATTTTCTAGAGAATATGTGATAGACTATTTATCAACTGATGTTGGTAGATATGCAGTAAGGAAGTCTCTATAGGCTCTGGTGTAAGTCAACAGTAGTGCAGGCTAGGCTGCAGTCTAGGCTGTGGAAACTCCTGTCTGTGGCCTAGTGGGTCTCTGTGGGACTGGAGGGGGTAATCCGGAATCAGGCCTGCTATTTCGCAAGGGCTCCATTGGCATAATGACTGTAGAGCAGTGGGCTTGGTGAAGGTTTGTGAAATGTGAAAGGATCTTCTGGAATGAGCCATCCATGCAAAATGGGTGAATGTTTTGTGTCTACTTTGCAGGGATTCTTTAAGCGAACCGTCCAGAACAACAAAAGGTACACGTGCATAGAAAATCAAAGCTGCCAGATTGACAAAACTCAAAGAAAGCGTTGCCCTTACTGTCGGTTTCAGAAATGTCTCAGTGTTGGAATGAAGTTGGAAGGTAAGGCATGAAGGTGTTCCTCTACACTATAAAAAGCAGCACATCTGCATGCTCCACCTTGCATATTATGTAGACTATATTATGTCAAGTTGTTTGATAAGGCTGCAATTCTATCTTACCAGAGTCAGTGGGACCAACTTCTGAATTGCCGTGCATAGGAATGGACTGAGCATTGCTGCCATGGGTGCCTAATGCCCGGGTTATGACCTGTTTGGCTTGCCAGGACTGCTGATGTATGTGGTCCTTTAGTCATCCTTTCGTACGCAAGGGCTCCCTTGTTATATTTGCTGCTGTTGTACTTGCGGGCTACCTTAAATGTAAGCATTACAGAAATGGCAGATCCGGAGGTGTAACTCTACAGTTACAGCATCCTGAAAGAATGTGAAGCAGTTGAGCTAAGCCTAGACATTCAGACCCATAGAACTGATTCTTTTAATCAAGCAAAACTAAATCAAAAATAGATATAATGAATTATTGACGGGGAGGCTGATAAACTGTTTCTACGGTAGCCATTCCTGCTATGTTTGAAAGTGTGGAATAAGATAAGATGGAGGAGGAGATGTAAGCTGCCTTGAGCCCTTTGTAGGAAAAAGGCAGGATATAAATTGAAAAATAAATAAATAAATACAAAACAGCACTAGAAGGCTAATAGATTGGGTATTTTTCTCATGCTTAATTGGCCATCCTTAGAATCCTATGTAACCTTTTGAATGGAAAGATTGTGCAACTCGTCTTATCATTGACAAACCAAAGATTGACTAGCATTTGTTTGGTTGTTCCAGTAGAACTGGTTACATATAAGAGAACTAAAATGTTCTGTGTCAGATTTTCAGATTTCTCTAAATGATATGACTTTAGCATATTCTAGTCTACAGAATTTGCAGGATTCAAAATTCTGGTTAAGAAAGACTGCCATTTTCCCCCCTCTAACTTCTAAGTTTACACTGAAACTTCAGCAGTACAGTCTGAGTAAATATAGAAATGGGCGATTTGGGTAAGCCACCCATGCAGGGCAAGATTTGCAGGATGCATTAATTTACTGATAATAAATTGGCATTTAGTTGTCTGGAAATGTGTGAGCACCTTTACACCAAGAACTCAAGTTAACTCAGAAATGAAATACAGGGAGATTCTTAATGGCTTGCCTCTAAAACACACACAGAGAAAGTTGCAATGGATAATGTTATCATAAAGTTTTGACAATTGTTTGCAGGGTACAGTTTGCCCTAAACAGATGTTGAGTGACATGTTTAATACTCAACGTATTTATTTAGTCCTACACTTATTGCATTTTGGGAAATATCAGTCTACTAAGAGCTCTTTCTTTGTGTAATTTGCCAATGCAAATATTACAGGAATGATGTGTGTAATTTTGTTGCAGATTCCAAAGTTTGTTTTGCTTTGTTTTTTATGTATAAAGCATTTCAGTTGCTGGTTTTCTTCACTGGTGTTTTAACAGTGAAATCATAAATGGAGAAAGGGAGAAAGTTCCACTGAAATAAGTGAGAATTTCTACTGAGTAAATATGTTTAGGATTCTACCATATATGATTTTGAGCTTTGCAAGATGCAAGTGGATTAGGGACAATCACTGCATTTTAATAACTTCAAGCTTTAAGTTAAGAGATTAATAAAAGCTGGAGTTGATAGATGGTATGGACTAATATTAATTTGTGTGCCCAAAGTCTTAAAACAGGCGTGTTTATCTTTAAGGCTATGTTGGTTCTGAAATGAATGCCAAATATTTGTTCATCACACAACAGCGTAATTCCCAAGCTATCCCAGACTTTTTACATAGCTCAGAAAAACACCAATATTGGTGTTTTTGTAATATGACAATTTATTTAAATATAATTGATGGATTGATTTGTCACTTACTCAACAAAAGGCAAATTACCTACTTTTCCCCATCAGATTCCCAGGGTTAAAGGATCTTTTTGAAAATTCTCCTTGAGAATACTCCCCACCCATTACAAGAGGAGGTCTTGATAATAGTTTTAGGTTCAAAATAGCTACCATAATTAGTGCATTATTCTTACTGTTTTGTTTTGTTTTTTACTCTATAAAAGATCACTTAAATGTGATCCAAAGAGAAGGCAGTTGATCTGCTTGCATTGCAGTGACACTTTGGAGATTTACTGACACCACAAGTTATTTAAGAACAGTGTTGGAAATAATGGCTATAATCAAACAAAGCACTTCTTGGTATACATGAGGAAATATCCCATTTTCCCTTATGGATGCAGCCTTTTCCTGTACATTGAATTCTGCTCTGGAAGCCCCAGGTTGTTTTGGAAGGCTCCAAGGGCTGATCTTCAAAAGCTTTGGTGTTCACAAAAAAAAAAAAAAAGAGTAAATAGACCCTGAATGCCAGTTCCCTGCCAAATCATTATTTTATTCATCTGCCTCTCCTATCGCTAAAACTCCTTATAAAGCTGATCAACAAGGAAAGAATTCAGTTTGCAGCATTTGAACATGTACGCCACCTCTAGTATTCCTGAAAATACACATGCATCAGGAATACTAGAGGTCTCATTAAATCACAGCATCAGTGCATCTGATTTCACAAAAGTGAAGCAATCATAAATGCACTATCAGGGTTTAATGGTGGTTTTTTGAATGGACACAGCCACCATTAAAAAAAAGGTGGGGTGTATCACTGTTACATGTCAGTAAACCTTCCGAATTATGTGTAGAATTTTAGTGGACCCATTTGAAGACACATTTGATGGGTTTCTGGCAATCTTTTCTTTAAAGACAAAACCTGACCCTATTGCTGCTCTGCTGTGTTCTCATAACCCAACTTCCCCTTTACTATCAGAAAAATAGGAAGACAGGCATGCTCCTGATAGCATAAATGCCCATGACATTTATATGGATGTTTGTTTGATTGTGATGCATGGTCTTAAATTCGAGTTCATAAATTACAGTTTAGGCTGAAATCATTAATTGTTAACACATCTTTATGATAATGTATGGCCCTCTGTGTACCTAGGACTTTCTAATACATTTTTAATGGCACACTAATCCTGAAGATAAAAGGTTAGGAACATCACCTCCAGCCATCTCAGCGTGTCACCAAGCCGACAAAGGCTCTTCTTGCTATCTGACGGCCAGTGGGAAGAAGAGGCTTGGGGGAGCCTTCCTGCCACGGCTTTCAAAAATAGGCTCTGGCAACATGCTGCTGTGACAAGAGACCACCACTCTGCTCCTCAAGGCAGTGGTTGCAGTGGGTTTTCTTGGTTTCTTCCCCATCCTAATTCAGTTATGAGCTGAATGGGATCAGCAGTTGCAGGTTCCGTGCATCTTTGCTGTAGATGACACCAGGCTGTTTGGACCTCTCTGGGGAAACCTCTCCTAAAGCAGAATATAAACAAAGTGTTCTTGGAACAGTTATAGCTAATGTGAAATAAAAGGCAACTAAATAACAGTATTGGCAGTAGCTTTTATTTGTTCCCATCCCACCCAGCCAGAACATCTGTGAACATCTGCAATTTTCGAACAGTGTAGGTCCTGAGAATTTAGCAGTTGCCTTGAAATAGCATCCCTTTAGTGGGCTAAGTATATTAATTAATGAACATTTTAAAATGTGGTTCTTAAAAGGACAGGGCACAAGCTAGCCAACATTAAGCACCTTGAGTCCTACTGATTTTGGTGGAAGTACTGCATGTGTTTAACTCACTTCTGCTGGAATTATTGAGGACTTTAAAGTGCTCAATTTTGACTGGAACATGCCCATTGGCTTTCCCTACCCCTACTTTGGAATAAAGAACACCTGATCAATCAAAATTTCTCTCTTCCACCACCAGTCCACAACCTACACAGATACATACACATAATTTTGCTTATATCATGCCCTCTGGGAGATTCCAGGGTAGTTTACGAAAATGTTTTAAAATTTGCAATAAAACAAATTAAAGCAAGGCAAGATTAAAGCAAGAGCATTAAAACATCACAATACAAAGGGGTACTATAAGCACATCTAGTAGATTTAAAAACAATGTACAAATGATTTAAACACCTCAGAAATAAAAGAACTTGCCTGGCACTGAAATGATGCCATAGCAGGGACCAGTGAGATGCTGGGTAAGAGTATTCCACAGCCACACGGCCAAGTAGCTTTTTCTCCTGTACCACCTGCCATGGGACCCACAGCATAGCAGGCACAAGAGGAAACAGGCGGTGCTTCTGGTCTTCTGCTTCCAGGCCAGGTGAAGGACTTTAATGATCAAACCTTCCCCTTCGCACTGAGTCACGAAACAAGCTGGGAACCAAAGCTGAGGTGTGATGTGACCCTAAACCCAATGTCCCCAATGCCTCCTTCCTGCTTTCTTTGGGACTAACCACACTTTCAGGACAGGTTTCAGAGGTAGCCTGCATGCACAGTAAGGTAAGTTGCCAGGGCATGGATCACTGCGGCCAGCCTATTTCTGTCCAGGTACAGTCACAGTTGCAGCACCAGACTAAGCTGGCAGAAGATGTTCCACTGGCACAGGTAGCTCAAAGAGCACTCACAGACTGTGAGCTTGGTCCTTCAGGGAGTTCCTCCCCCAGGGAGGTGACCTTCTAAAGATGACCCTAAATTTAAGCAAGCTGGATTCACTTCACACGCATGCCCCAGTTTTAATGCCTATGTTTTTCTCCCTCCACCTCCAGCTGTGAGAGCTGACCGAATGCGTGGGGGTCGAAACAAGTTTGGACCAATGTACAAGAGGGACAGGGCACTGAAGCAGCAGAAGAAAGCTCTCATCCGAGCAAATGGACTCAAGTTGGAAGCCATGACTCAGGTGATTCAAGCAATGCCTACCGACCTGACAATATCCTCCGCCATCCAGAATATCCATTCTGCCTCCAAGGGCCTACCTCTGAACCACACCGCCTTGCCTCCCACAGACTATGACCGGAGCCCCTTTGTGACCTCTCCAATTAGCATGACAATGCCACCCCACGGCAGCCTACAAGGTTACCAGGCCTACGGCCACTTTCCGAACCGCGCAATCAAGTCCGAGTACCCCGATCCATACACTAGCTCCCCCGAGTCAATTATGGGCTACTCGTACATGGATGGTTACCATCAGACAAGCTCACCAGCAAGTATTCCTCATCTGATATTGGAACTCCTGAAGTGTGAGCCAGATGAGCCGCAGGTCCAGGCGAAGATCATGGCATACCTGCAGCAGGAGCAAGCCAACAGGAGCAAACATGAGAAGCTCAACACCTTTGGGCTTATGTGTAAAATGGCTGACCAAACCCTGTTCTCGATTGTCGAGTGGGCCAGGAGTAGCATCTTCTTCCGAGAACTTAAGGTACAACATAAGATTGTTTTACATGACATGATAATGAAATGTAAGTCAGAGCTTGGTAAATTTACCCAGCCTGGTAAATTCTTTTCCCCTTCAGTTCCCTTTTTCAGAGGATTGCACCAAAATAGGCAAATTTCTCCATAAATAGAAAACATTTAAGAAGACAATTCTAATATGGGAAACACTCAACTTCCCAATCCATCCAGGGCCAGTTCTTAAAAATCTGGATGGAAGTCCCTGTGTACTCAACTGGGTTATTGTTGAGATGAAGTTAAGGAGCAGGTCCAGGGCAATCTTGCCAATGGGCCCATCTGGAGTGTGGTCTCTTGGCTACTGCCCAACCAGGTCTACCCTTGAGACTGGCCTTTGCTCTTCTTTTGTAGAATCCTTGCTCATTTGCCTGTCCTCAAGAATTGCAGAGATACGAAGCAGAAGAAGGGAAGCAGGGGAGTGATACAAAGAAACACAAAAAGACCGTATCATAGGCAAGGTATCTTAGCATCAGAGGACTGGGGGAAAGGGATTGCACAGGGAGACCTTGGTGTTTGATGTGAGGAATGAGCTGCGGGCACTTTGCTCACTGGCTGCAGAGTTCACTGAAAGAAAGGACTGTGGGTATAAGTTAATTGCTTGAGCTGGCATCAGTCATTCTTGAGATCAGAGAGAACTGGCATGGAAGGACATTGGACCCAAGACTGTCAAGCTATGGTGCAGCATAGGATATATAAACACATCGCCTAGTTTCTTGAAATGTCCGAGGCATTTCAGATCTGCAGTGTTCTGAAATAAGGGTCATTCTTTGAGTTAGTGGAACATTGGTTTCGATTTCAAGAGGTTCTCCACTAGATACTCTGAGCAAGTAAATTTATAGCTAGCAGAATAGCAATGGCTGTGCTAATTAAGGATAACTTCATATTGGGCTCTGAGTGCCCCAAAAGACAATAGACCCATTTCTTCCAAAACTAATTTTAAAAAATCAATTGGCTTGGAGCAGCAAACTAATAAAGAGGGCAGCAAAGCTGAACATTTTGCTGTCATTTGCTCAAGAATGGAGTTGATGCACAAAAGTAAGAAGAAGGCCTGAAAGAACTGGGTATTTCTAGACTATGGAAAGAAATAATGTAGGATGGTATACGACAGTAGCTTTGAAGAAAGAAGATGGGGAAATGTCAGTTTTGCCTCTTTTTTACTTACTGCATTTATGTATTTCCAAACTGGCAAATGCCCCTGCAGCAGTTTCCATTCATAAAAAACACTTCTGTCTATAACACGTATCACAGGAAAATTGCAATCAATGCAATAATATAGCCAATGAAAAAATTAAAAGATATGAAGAACATTAACAATATTAAAGAATCAACAGTAAACCTGATAATAAGGACAGGAAATTAAATATGAAATGTCTGATGAAAGAGGAAAGACTTAGTAGATATTTATATAATGAAGGTGCCAGGCGGATCCCCCAGGGAAGGGCACACAAGTAGGGAGCCCGTACAGAGAAGGCTGTAACCCAAGAGGAGCCCAACACACCATTCTGGGAGTTGGGTGTCAGAGATGCATCTCCAAATAAGACTTCACCAGTTATGGAAGACAAGGTTATACCTATAATTGTGTCCTGGGACATTTTAGATTGCAACTCACATTAACCCTGGCCATTGGCCATGATAACTAGGATGGGTGGTAATCTGAGACATCTGCCAAGGGCTGCTTTAATTCTGAGGATGTAGCTTTCATTCCAGAAACAGAATATGTGTATGTGAGGTTGGGGGAGAACAAGCTGCAAAGACCCCCCACCCCATCCATGGAAGTGGGTGTCTGGGCAGGAGAGGATGTGGTGTGTTCTTTCCCAGAAGGTTTCCAAGGAAAGTTGCAAAAGTGTTGCCCGATGACATCAGTATAAAGCACAACCTGTCCTAGGTCAAAGAACTAGAACAGGTGACCCTTTGGAACTCTTTTCATTTGGATAATCATCCACTCTAAAATATTACCATGTGTTGACTGTGCCACACTTCAAGGGGGAGGAGATCAGGGAGGCCAACTCCTGATTTCACTTTTGGGTCACCTGTTATTACCAAGAGGTAGATTTCTTGTTTTGTGTAATCATAATAGCATTCCCAGGCTTGAGAACTGTTCTGTAGTAGAATCCAGTGGTGCGTTTATTCATATATTTGTTAGATAGTTTTATTCCATCCCTCCATTAAAAAAATCCTAAAGCAGTGTACAGAGAAAGGCATGTGTGTGTGAGAGAGAGAGAGAGAGAATGAGAGAGAGAGAGAACTGGCTAGGAAGCGCTATAACGAATATGCAAAGCTGAACAATCAAATGAACACAAGACCTTAAGAAGCAGCAAGACCTTAAGAAGCCAGATTAAAACAATCAATAGAACTAAAATGATGACTAAATGCCAGGCAGAATAAGGTCTTTGCCTGGTGCTAGAAGAACAACATGTAGGCACCAGGCAGACTGTCTGCAAAGAGCAGACAGTTGGGGTGCCACCAAGGAGAAGGCAGCTGGAATTAAGGATTTTATAGAATTTCATTTGCTTCACATTTTAAAGCAATCAACCTAATTCGCACTTCCTGGACTAATATGTGTATTGGAATGCAATTATCCTGCAGATTGCACACTCCTCTGAATTTTTCAGTGCCGTTGTCAGCTCAAAAATGTGTACAAAATGCATTTTGGTAGGAAATGCATTCCATTTAAATGCAAAAATCCATGCATTTTTTAAAAAGGCAAACTTGCACAAAATGGAGTGGAACAAAATTATAACTGAATACATAGGAAACTGCATAGTTTCTGGAAGTAGTCTAATCTGTCCGTCCTATTTTTGAATTGAGCCCAGAATCAAGTCAGGACCCAGTAGGTTCCAATGCCTGTTCCTACTTAATAATCTAGCTGCTGCATTCAGAACAGTTTCTGAACCATCTTCAAAGTGAGCCGCGCACAGAAGTGCATTGCAATAGCATCTTGCAATGGTCTAACTTGGAGGTTGCCACAGCATGGAACACCAAGGCTAGGCTGACTCTCTCCAGATAAATTCACCTCATGCTGGACTCTACCATTTCAGATTACAGGAGGTGACATCATATTAATTATCTGACCTCACCCTGCCATAAAAAGTTCACAGCATGTGGTAAATTAGCACACTGGGGAGATTGTGAAAATCTATTCTTCTGATGTATTAGTTTACTATTTTCTGGGAGATTTCTCTGGTCTCCTGCTTCCAAAACAAATCCTGTGACACTTCCCTTCACAGCTTAAGGTGGCACAATCCAGAATGTTACCTCTTCAGTTTACCACAAGGGTGGGCACCAAAGGTTGGCTGGGCTGCACAACTCACTGCAAACAAACTTGGCCACACCTCATTCTGTGCCACTACAATGCTGAACATGCAGCCAAAATTCAGCAGAAGCAAAGAAAAAGACAAGTGGTGATCGTTCTTGAAAACATAGTGAGTGGTGACTGCGTGTCTTGTTTGGAAGCAAAAAGACTCCTGGAAGTCTTGGGAGACTTCCAGGGATGTGATTTTGCTTCCAAAGAAGGGGCTGTTCTTTGCACAATACATTTTCAAAATGGTCGCAACACACACAGAGAGACACACACATTCATTGCCCTTGCTGCTACTGTGGCAGCAAATTCAGTGGCCAGGTGGAGGGGGTGAAAAAATGGCCAGAGGAGTTCCATGTGAGTTAGTTGTTGCCCACCCCTGTCTAGCCCTATATTCTGCACAGTGGAGGAACAGCCACCAGACAATGCCCTTCGCCTTATTTCCAGCTATTCTCCTTACCATTGGGCATGATCATGCAGATGACCAAGCCCCAGCCCAGAGTGAGAAAGTTTATGCTGGCGTAGTTCTCTTATCTGCCTGGATTCCTCTGCATTTCTCTCGAGACAGTCGGGAGAAATCACCTGCTCCAGGTTTTAGGGAGCCCTTGGGAAAAGCCCCTTCAGTGCTCTCCTCCCCAGGCGAGTCTTTCTGCTCGCCAGCATAGCCACCAACGGCTTTCTCCAACTCTTGCTATTGCTTGCTCGACAGGAGGAGAGTCAGTGAGAAAGTAGGACATGGCATCCCCAGGTCCTCTCTCTCTCAGCCACATCATTGTCAGGGCCAACAATAGCCCCAAGCAAGCAAGCAAGCAAGCAAGCAAGCAAGCAAATAGCAGGGACAGAGAGGAGGCACAGCCGCTGGCAAGGGGGCCCTGTCAGTGGCTCCGACTGGGGACTCAACCACGGTGGGTGCCCCACCACCCCACCTTGACACCAGGGCTGCATGATGACACACTGTTTCTTCCTGAAAGTCCAACCGCTGCTTCAGCTGATGCAACAACAGTTCTCAGTGACCCCTCCATAGTTATGGGAAGACAGTTCATTCATCTAGTTACAGCAAGAGAGTTGATCATCTTCTGGAACTAGCTGTTAACATTTCTGTATGAACTGGAAAAAGAATCTGGGGTTCCAAGCAAAATCCCTGCATGAGGAATTGGCTTTCCCATACCAGGCGGGTACTACTACCATGTTTGCTGCAACCAGGTTGGAGCCTTAGGAAGAAGAATGAAAAGGAAGGAGCGGCATGGAGGACCGTAGCCTTGATGACATTCCCAAGGCGTAGTCCAGAGGTGTATGATATTGTAACCATGGCAAAGGTTATTGGGTCTGGAGCCCGCTTTGATGAGAGACTACCTTTGAATCCTATGTATTTTGCTATGAGTGATTTATGTCCACTGTAAAAAGTGGATCTTAGTCAAATCAAGAATGGGGAACTTGTAGCTCTCCAGAAGTTTTTGCCTACAAGTCTCAGGAACTCTAGCTAACATAGTGAAGAGGGATAATGGGAGCTGCAGATGATCACATCCAGAAGGTCACCTGAACTAAATGAACCCAGAGGACCAGCTGCAGGAAAAAGTTGCCATATGGGGTGTTCCTGACCAGGGTGCCAGTTACCGATTACCTTTTGCAGGATGCTCCGTTCCATTGCCTTCTCCTCACTTGCCGTATTCCCC